ATATATTATATAATAAATAGATTTAAATATAATAAATAAATAAATTTAAACATAAATATTATGAGCAATTGACGGATTAGGGTTTAGAGGCATTAAACGGGTATTAAAGTTTTAGGGGTAATAAGGGTTTAGGGTTTAGGGTTTACGCAAATCAAAACAAATAAATAAATAAATAAATAATAAATAATAAACAAATAAATATAAATAATAAATAAATAAGTAATAAATAAATAACAAACAAATAAATAAATAAATAATAAATAATAAACAAATAAAAAAATAAATAAAATAATAAATAAATAAATAAATAATAAATAAATAAATAATAAATAAATAAATAATAAATAAATATATAGACGCACATGTCTCTGTGTGTCTCGGTGCGTATATAATGCTCAGGCTGCGTGAAGTCGGCTAAATGCAGCTGTCTCTCTTCTTTATGAATAGGAGGGACAGCAATTCTCTGAACTTTTTTATCTTTTGTCGATGCTAAAGATAAATCTTCAGCAATAAAACCTCCTGGAGAGACAAACCCTAAAGAAACCGGGTCAAGACGAACCCCTTCTTCTTCCTGTGCAAAAAAATCGTCCAAATATACACCCTAAACCCTAAACCCTAAACCCTAAACCCTAAACCCTAAACCCTAATCCCTAAACCCTAAATCCTAAAAATCTCTAACACACAAAACCCTAATAAACAGGTAGCCCCTAAATCCCAATCTACTGCACAATAAACCCTAAACCCTAAATCCTAAACACTAAACCCTAAACCCTAAACACTAAACCCTAAACCCTAAACTCTAGACGCACCGCTAGTACTTCTAAATCTTTGATGCTTCTAACTATAAAGAGAGGCTTCGCTCCGTCGACAGGTCTTGTGCGCAGCTGACGCTGAGAAGCAGAAGCAGCAGCAGCAGCAGCAGCAGCACCACCCGAAGCAGGGGCCTTTGAATGCACAGACTGTGCGTAAGCCATTTTCTCCTGCTGCTGTTGCTGTTGCTTATGCTGCTGCTGCTGCTGCTGATTGTCGTGCTGCTGCTGCTGCTGCTAGTGCTGTTGGGGGCTCCTGCTGCAGCTGCTGCTCCTGCTGCTGATAATGGTGCTGGTCCTGCTGGTGCTGCTGCAGATGCTATTCCTGCTGCTGCAGGTGCTGCAGCTGCAGTTTCGGTCGCTGCTTTGCTGCTGTTGCTGCAGTTAATGCTGCAGCAGCAGCATCTGCTGCTGCTGATTCTGCTGCACTTGTCGATGCTACTCGCGAACGAACTTCTGCTAGACCCGCTGCAAACCCAGGGGATGTTCCTGCAACGAAGCTGCTGTAGGCACGTGTAGCTGCTGCCGCTGCTGCTGCTGTTGCTGTTGCTGCTGCTGCAGCAGCAGCACAATTTCGTAGCCGAATTGCTGCTAATGCGGTGCCTTATGGAGTCTGCTGCTCCCCCTACATGCTGCCGCAGCAGAACACTCGTCGCTGCTGTTGCTGCTTGCGCTGCTGCTGCTGTTGCTGCGGTCGTTGCTGCTCTACTGCTGCTACTGCTGCTGCTGCTGCTGCTGCTGTACCGGCACGCCGCTAGGGGCCCCCCACCGTATTAAGAGAAGAAGGGGGCCCCCACTGAGTTGACGTCTCTTTAGGCAGCCCTGAGGGTATAGATTTGGGGTGTATGTGCAGGTCTCCAGCCTCCGCTGCTGCAGTGTACTGCAGCGTGCTGCAGCGGGGCCCCCTGAGGTGTATATACACCTAAAGAGGAGTGCCTGGGCTGCTGTATAGAGAAGTAAAGAGTAATATATTGGGGTGTACGTACAGCTGGGGTCTGTATAGAAGGATTAATTAGTAGGAAGCGCGTTAACACTACTGCGGCTGTTTGTAATGCTGCTGCTGCGGCTGGTTCTGCTGCTGCTGCTGCGGCTGTTGCTGCTGCTGCTGCTGCTGCACCCCCGCTCGCTCTGGAGAGGCTAAAGCAGCAGCAGCAGCAGTAAATTATATTTATTTATTTCTCTGTGAAAATTTAAGCCGTTCGGACTGTCTATGCACGGGATGCCAGCAGCAGCAGCAGCCGCTGCTGCTCCTGCTGCAGCAGTTGCTGCTGCTGCTACTGCTGCTCCTGCTGCTCGCGCTGCGACTGTTAAGCAAAATTTACTTTACTATCCACTGACGTTGTCTGTTGATTGTATTATAACGAAAAATATATTAAAATTAATTATCTTCTTATAGCTTATTGAGTAGCAGCAGCAGCGCATGGGGTGGCTGCTACCACTACAGCAGCAGCAGCAGCAGCAGCAGCAGCAGCAACAGCCACGGCAAGACAGGCAGCATATGCTGCATGCGTATCTCTTTGCGTCTGTGTTGTTTATTTTTTAATGTCTCTTCCCGTTTAGAATATTTATTTAAATATATTTTATTTTATATTTCTTTCTGCAGCCCCAAACGCTGCATGCAGCAACAGCAACAGCAGCAGCTGCTGCTGCTGCATTCTTTGCTGCAGCACAAGCGCCTCTACACTTTATTAAATAAAAAATATATTTTAACAATTTTAATTCGCTTCTTCACTCTGATACCCATTAACAACTGCGGCTGTTGTGGGGGGGGCGTAGATGCTGCTGCTGCTGCTGCTGCTGCTGCTGCTGCTGAAGAGTTGCATTGCTTGTTGTTGCTGCTGCTGCTGCTGCTCCTGGTGAAGACATGCAGCGCTTGCTGCTGTTGCTGTTGCTGCCGGTAAAGGGTTGCAGCGGTTGCTGCTGTTGTTGCTATTACATTTGCTGCTGTTAATACAATGATAAGCACAGTACTACTGATTATTATATATTATTATAAATATAATATTATTATATTTATTATATATATAATTATTTATACTGTTGTTTTGTAATAGACCATTTAGCCACGCTAAACCCTAAACCCTAAACCCTAGGAAACCCGTTTACAGATTATTATTATTAGAGGATTGAAGTAAACATTGCTGCGTTGCATGCAGCAGCAGCAGCAGCAGCGCAGCTCCAGCATCAGCATCAACTTCCTTGGGGCTGCATGCGCTGTTGCCGTCGCTAGCTGCTGTTTCTGCAGTAGCCTTGCTGTCGCAGCAGCAGCAGCAGCAGCAGAGTACTCTCTTCGTATTTTGCTGCTGCTGCTGGAGCAACAGCAGCGACAGCAGCAGCAGCAGCAGCAGATTTGCTGCGTTAGTTTCTTAATGAGAGTTTAGAGGTGTACGTACAGTGCAGTGATATTCTGCTGCTGGATGCAAATGCATGCAGCTGCATATACACCTCAAGTGTCTCGATGCAAAAGCTAAGGCTTCTTAGCGACAGCCCCAAAGGAACTAAAACTTATGCATGCATGCATGAGTTTGCTGTTTAAAGAAAAAGAAGGAAACAGCTGCTGCTGCTGCTGCTGCTGGTCTTGCTGCTGTCTGCTGCAGCTGCTGCTGCTCTTGCTGCGGCTTTCTCCTGCCCTCAGTTCTCTAGAGACTCTGCTAGAGCTGCGGTATTTGCGTCTCACCGCACTGCTGCTGCTGTTGATGCTGCTCCTGCTGCTGCTCTTTCTGCAGCTTCTCTTGCTGCTGCTCTTGCTGCTGCTGCTCTTGCTGCTCTTTCTGTTGCTGCTGCTGCTGCCATACCGCTTCCCTGTGCTTTAATTTCTCTAATAGTTTATAAAATGCTGCTGCTTCGGGGGCCCCCTGGGGCCCCTCTTGCTGCAGACGAGAGACAGCAAGGAGACAAACAGATTCTGCAGCAGAGTATAGGCGGAGGCCCCCCAAAGCCCTCGCCTTTCGGTGGGCCCCTTTGCTGCTGAAAGGAGACAGCAGCAAAACCTAAGAAAAGATAAAACAACAACTCCAGAATATCATCATAACGCTGCTGCTGCTGCTACTGCTGCTGCTGCTGCTGCTGCTGCTGATGGCGTCCTCGCCAGGTCAGAAGGCAGGCGCATGGTAGCAGCAGCAGCAGCGGCAGCAGCAGAAGCAAGAGCAACAGCAGCAAGAGCAGCATCAGCAACAGCAGCAAGACCAGCAGCAAGACCAGCAGCAAGAGCAGCAGCAGCGCCTGTAACAACCACAGCAGCAACAGCAGCAGCAACAGCAACAGCAACAACCACAGCAGCAACAGCAGCAGCAGCAGCTTGCCTCATCTGCGCATGCAAGAGCTTCTTCATAACGCCTCAGCCGCAGCAATACGAGGGCCTGGTTGAGTTTAATTGTTGAGAGGGCCCAGGCTGCTGTGGGGCCCCCAAGGGGGGGCCCCCCTAAAGCTGTCTCTGCCTGAGGAGAAGACAGAGAAGATGCAGCAAACCCTCAGCAAACCCTCTTAATACCCTAAACCCTAAACCCTAAACCCTAAACCCTAAACCCTAAACCCTAAACCCTAAACCCTAAACCCTCACGTACACGCCGATAGAGTTGGAGTGCCGCATGCATCTCCCCCTTTGCAAACTTTGCGTTCGCCTCCTTCCTTAGCAACTGACTCTGCAGCACCCTGCTGCTGCTGCTGCTGCTGCTGCTGCTGCTGCTTGGAGGGGACAGAGACACTACTTTTAAGTCTCTCAAGTAGAGGGCCTTCCCTAATAACATCGGAGAGGTGAGAGCAGAGCAAGCTCCAGTAGCTTGGGGGCCCCTAAGATGGGGGCCCCCCTCAGGGGGCCCCCTACCCCTGAGTTGGGGGCCCCCCTGAGGGGCCCCCCTTATGTGGGGGCCCCCCTGAAGAGGGGGCCCCCCTAAACTGCCGGGGCCCCACAGGGGCCCCACATACAAATCGATGGGGGGCCCCTGAAGCAAGAGGGTCCTCAGGCAGACATCTACTGCAGCACAAAGGGGGGCCCCCTCACCTAGTGTGTATGCGTACGTATAATGCTGGGGGGGGCCCCCAGCAGCAGGGGCCCCCCTGGGGGCCCCCCCTCCTTTATGCACGAAGGGGCCCCCCGAAGAGACAGGGAAGGAGACAGAAGAGCCATCCTGTGGGGCAGCAGCAAATAGAAAGAGCAAAGGAGACAGACAGCTGAAGCAGAAGGAGACAGCAGATATCAAAAGAAAAAGAGACAGACAGAGAGACACAAACAAAGAGACAAAAGAAGGTAAAGAGAGACAAACAAAGAGACAAAAAACAGAGACAAATATAATACAAAAAGGAGACAGATAAAAGAGAGACAAATATAATACAAAAAGGAGACAGATAAAACGGATATAAGAATAAAACAAAAAGGAGACAGATAAGACGGAGACAGAGACAAACATAAAACAAAAAGGAGACAGATAAAAGACAAAGTACGAAAGAAACAACCACACCAAAACAAACAATAAAAGAGAGACAGAGACGAGGAGACAGAGAAAGAGATAAAGACAGAGACAGACAGAGAGACAGAGACGAGGAGACAGAGAAGGAGATAAAGACAGAGACAGAGAGACAGAGACAAAGATAGCAAACAAGACAAACAAAGATGCTTCCACAGACACCCGACAACCTGCGGCTGCAGCACCACACCTGCAGATACACCGCAAACTGCAGCGTAACCCTCCATCCATCACCTGGAGGCCCCTGAGGGGCCCCCCTACGCTCCTCGGGGGCCCCTTCAGGACCTTGAGGGGATCCTTCGGGCTCCTGAAGGGCCCCTTGAGGCCCTTGGGGGCCCCCCTGAGTCTCTTTGGGGGGCCCCTGGGGGGCCCCCTGAATCTCTTTGGGTTGCCCCTGGGGGGCCCCCTGAGGACCCTGCGGAGGCCCCTTGGGGGCTTCCTGAGGCCTCTGAGGGGGCCCCTCTTCTCTAACAAAAAAGAAGGCAACAGGAGCAGACAGCAGATGGTCTGAGCTGCGAGCTGCTCGAGCCCGGCGCCTCTCTAAGCACACGCTGCAAATGCTGCAGCTGCTGCTGCTGCTACTGCTGCTGCTGCGGGCCGCGCTTGGGCCGCCATCCCTCGTGCTGATGCAGGTGCTGCTGCAGCTGCTGCTGCTGCTGTCGCTGCTGCACGCGTCAGAGTCGGGATCGTCTGCTCCGCTGTACGCTTCTTCGCTGCTGCAGCAGCAGCAGCGTGTCTCCACTTTCCCTGAAGCAGCAGCAGCAGCAGCAGCTGCTGCTGCTGCTGCTTGAGGAGGCTGGCGTCTCTTTGCTGCTGGAGGAAATATCATTCTTCTGTAGATGTCTCTATAAAGAGACAAGGGCACTGAGAGGGGCCTCATTACTGTTTGATAGTGCAGGCGGATGCGCAACAGCAGCCAGTCTCCTGCTGCTGCTGCTGCAGGTGATGCTGCTGCTGCTGTTGCTGTTGTTGCCGCTGCTGCAAGCGCGCAGCTGTCACGTTTGCGGTTCTTCAGCAAACCCGGAGGTGCTGCTGCAGCGTCAAGCAGCAGCAGGCATTCTTCTCCTGCAGCAGCAGCGCTTAAACCCCTAAACCCTAAACCCTAAACCCTTCCTACTCCCCTGCAAGAGTGCCCATTGCAAGTGAGGTTATGGCTCTTTATGTCCTAGGGTTTAGGATTTAGGGTTTAGGGTTTAGGGTTTGGGGTGTACCTGGCAGCATGCACTGCAGCGCAGCACTGAGACCGGGGCCCAAAGCAGCGTCTCCGACAGAAGCAACAAGAAGAGACACAGCAGCAGCAGCTGGGGCAGCAGCAACAGCAGCAGCAGCAATAAACAGAGCAAACACACGAAGAGGTGCAGCAGAAACAGGAAGCAAATTCACATTGCAAGTACAGCAGCAGCAGCAACAGCAGCAACAGCTGCGCCAGCCCCAGTAGTGGAAATACCCCCAGCAGCAGCAGCAGCAGCAGCAGGAACAGCAACAACAACACCAACAGCAGCAGCAGCAGATGAGGGCCTCACGCATTTGCTTGAATTGCTGCTGCAGCTGCGCTTTACTCCAGGGCCCCTCCTCAGGCAAGTTCTTTATAAAGAGGGGGGGGGCCCCCTTATCCTTCTCGAAGGTCTGCAAATAAGAGGTAGGGGCCCCTAAGCACCAAGCAGAAAAAGAAACACAAACAGCTCGGCCTTCTTGCGGGTATCTGCAGCAGCAGCAGACGCTGCTGCCGCTGCAGAGACCCTGGGGGCCCCCTACATCGTCGGGGGGCCCCCTGCAATTCACTGGGGGCCCCGGAGGCAGAAGAGTCATCAGCAACCCCACATAAGCGAAATGCGAAACAAACTCAGACTCTCCTGCTGCTGCTGCTGCTGCTGCTGTTGACTCTGCAGCAGCTGCAGCAGCAGCAGCAGCAGGATTACGGGTGAGGAATACTGGCCGTTGAAATCCTATCGCTGGAATGTCTAGTTGCTGCAGAGGACCCTCAGGGGGGCCCCCAGGGGCCCCCTTGGGATCAAGAGGATGACAAGGAGGAATGAGGTGGGGGCCCCCTCCCCACCAGGCAGCAGCAGAGGGGCCCCCCTGTAGATCGCTAGTTGTTGCAGCAGTTGGTTCTGCTTCTGCTGCTGCTGCTGGTGTTGCTGCTGATGCAGAAGTTGCTGATGCTGCAGAAGGTGTTGCTGCTGCTGCTGCTGAGGCCGAAGCTAGCGGGAAGCCCCTGCCACTATTGCTGCTGTTGCTGTTGCTGCTATTGCTGCTGCTGCTGCTGCTGCAGGGCCCACCGGGCCTTGCAGGTTCTCGGGCTTTCTGCTGCATGATTAAAATGCGTCAATGCAGAATGATTAACAGGGGAGCGAGTTGGGGTGTATGTACACCTCAAGTTTGTAAGAGATCAGAGTAGGGGGGCCCCCCCCGAGCTGTTGTCGCAGGGGGGGAGGAGGGCCCCCTTCTAAACCCTTTACTGGCTTTTCAATGAGTATATTCATATAGAAATGCTCAAATATAATTGGTTTAATGTACAAAGAATAAACACTATTCATAGGGGGGCCCCCGGGGGCCCCTCAGCAGGGTCCTGGGTTCGTCAAGACCACCGCCGACAGCACGGGGTGTATATACACTGCAAATAGAAGGAAAAGAGAAGAAAAAGAATATTACATTTGCATTTAAAATAGAAAATAAAACTATTTTAAAGTTTTAAAACCTGTTGTGATCCCGCAGGAAACCTCTTGAGGGTTGAGGGTTTAGGGTTTAGGGTTTAGGGTTTAGGGTTTGATGGTTAGGGTGTATATGCAGGCCATCAGACCGCCGCGCGACTGCAGCGGAATATCATTGTTTCTGTCGCTGCATTATTTATATTTTAATTTTAATTTATTTATTTCAATAAATAAACACAGGAAACAAACATCTGAGCCTTTTTGCTTCTCTTAACTCCTCCTCTTGACCTCCTGTTGCGGTGTACATACACCTCAGCATTGCAGCCGCCGATGCCCCTGCGACAGCCACTTACAGGCCCTCAACGGAGGGCGGTTCACGCATACAGTAGCAGCAGCAGCTGCAGCAGCAACAGGAGTCGCTGCAAGAGCAGCACTTGCAGCAGCAGCAGCAGCAGCAGCAGCAGCAGACGAGACCCCAGCAGCAGCAAATACAACAGCGTATTTTGACTCCACTATGGAAGTTAGCAACTCTTCATTGAAGAAGGGGGCCCCCCCTGATCCTGCGCTGCCTTCACTGCCGTCTACGGGGGGCCCCCTATTGGGGGCCCCCGACAGCAGCAGCAAAGCGAGGAGGCGTGCTGCTTGGGGCCCTGCAGCATATTCTGAAATATCTCTGGAGTGTATGTACAGCGGAATCAACAGTAAAGAGGGCCCCCAAGGGGGGGCCCCCAAGGACTGGGGGGCCCCCTATTCGTACCCTTTTCTCCCGGGGCCCCGTGAAGTATGTCGGGGGGCCCCCACCACTATAAATAAACAAATGCAGTTTGCTGCTGATTATAAAAAAGATTTTCAGGGGGCCTTTGATTTGCTGCTGTCCTGCCCAGTTCGTGAGGAGGAAGGAAGAGCTGCTGCTGCACTTGCGTCTCCAAACAACCATCGAAAAGAAAGAAAGCAGCAGCAACAGCAGCAGCAACAGCAGCAGCAGGAATCTGGAGAGGATATAGGAGCAGCAAAGAGCCTCCGGCAGCAGCTGCACCAGCTGCGAGCCGAAGGGCAGCGTCGTGCTGCACGTCTTCGAAGGGAGCGTCAGGTGCTGCAGCAGCAACTGGCTGAGGTGCGTCAGCAGCAGCAGGTATTGTTGCTACGACAGCAGCAGCAGCAGCAGCGGAGCAACACGAGCAGCAGCAGCAGAGCCAGCCTAGACAGCAGCAGCAACAGCAGCAAGCAAGGCTCAGGCGAATCCCTATGCAAGCCTAATCTACTCTCTGATGAAGTGAAGGGCCCCGGGGGCCCCCAGGGCCCCGGGGGTTCAGGGGGCCCCCGGGGCCCCCGGGGGGCCCCCTACCCTCCCTTTACCCCTCGAATGGTGCTGCTGCATGTTTATGATTTAACTCCTGCTATCTCTAATTATGTTAATCGCATTATGCGTCCTCTTGGGGCTGGGGCTTTTCATGCGGGCGTTGAGGTGTACGGACAGGAGTATTGCTTCGGGCAAACCTCAGGTTAGCAAATAGCTAGCTAGCTAGCTAGCTAGCTAGCTGGCTAGCTGGCTAGCTGTAATACAGTGAGCTAGCTGGATAGCTGGCTAGCTGGCTATACAGCTAGGTAGCTATGTAACTCCCTAGCCAGGTAGCTAGCTGTACAGCTAGCTAGTTTACTAGCTAGCTAGCTAGCTAGATAGCCATCTGGCTAGCGAGCTAGATAGTCAGCTGGCTAGCTAGCTACCCGGGTGGCCAGGTAGGTAGCAAACCATCTACGCCTCTAGCTAGCTACCTTGTTACCTTTACATGTTGCTGCCTAACTAGCTGGCTAGCTAGCTACCCTCTGGGTGCCCGGCGAGGTAGCTAGCCAGCAGCAGCAACAGCAGCAGCAGACGCAGTAGACTCTGCAAAAGCAACAGGCGGAGCAGCAGCAGCAGCACGAGCAGCAGCAGCAGCACGAGCAGCAGTAGCAGCAGCAGCAGTAGCACGAGCAGCAGCAGCAGCAGCAGCAGCAGCACGAGCAGCAGCGGCAGCAGCAACAGCAGCAGCAGGTGGGGACTGGGTTTGTGCTGCAGATGAATCGACAGGCATCAGCGTCTGCCAGCCAATGCAACACCCGGCCCACGTATACAGAGAGACAGTCCCCATGGGGTGCGCTAGGGTTTAGGGTTTAGGGTTTAGTGTTTGGGGTGTAGGGTTTAGGGTGCAGGGTTTAGGGTTTAGGTGCCGCCTTCCCCCACTGTACAGCTGCGTCCCTAACACATGTACACGCTGGAAGCACCTAGGATCCAGGGCAGATAATAAGGGTTTAGGGTTTAGGGTTTAGGGTTTAGGGTTTAGGGTTTAGGTTTTAGGGTTTAGGGTTTAGGGTTTGGGTTTGGGGTGTACGTACAGCCCAGCTGACCTCGACTTGGACGAATTTTTGTCTCTCATGGAGGCGCTGAAGCCCGAATGGCCCGGCAACTCTTACGACGTCCTCAGCAGGTAACCCTTTAGGGTCTAGGGTTTAGGGTTTAGGGTTTAGGGTTTAGGGTTTAGGGTTTAGGGTTTACTGCATTGGTTGAAGGTTTAGGGTTTAGGGTTTAGGGTGGTGTTTGAGGGTTTAAAATTTGTTGCAGTGTCCAGCCCTCCGTTCTTCCTAAACACTTCCTTCTTGCTGATTCTCGCTTTGCGTTGCTGCTGCTGCTGCTGCTGCTGCTGCTGCTGCTGCAGGAACTGCGTGAATTTTGCAGATCATTTGTGTGTATTGCTGGGGGTGGGGCATATCCCTTCTTGGTTATTTCGTCTGCAGCGGCAAGCAAGCAGCATTAAAGGAGGAGCTCGTGCTGCTGCTGCTGCTGCTACTGCTGCTGCTGCTGCTGCCGGTGCTGCTGCTCGCCAGCTGCAGCGCCTAGACACCCACGCGGGGATCTCAGCGACTGCAACTGCAGCAGCAGACGCAGCAGCAAAAGCAGCAGCAGCAGCAGCAGGGGCAGCTGTCTCCTTTGGTCGTCTCCTCAAGCATGCACACCAGGTTAGAGACAAAAAACAAAGGGGCCCCCGTCTATCTAAGGGGGCCCCCTATCAGCAACCCAGGGGGGCCCCCAGCACTCTCCCTAGGGGCCCCCCCAGGCACCACAAGGGTATTAACGCCTGTGATGTTAGGGGGCCCCTTGCAGCAGTAGCAGCACAGGGGGTCCCCCCAAGCAGCAGCAGCAGGGGGGCCCCTTGGAGTACCTTCTTTAGTGGGGCCCCCTGCGCTCTTGCGAGGCCCCTACAGGCAACAAATAAACTTGGAGGGGGCCCCCAATGCACTTGCTGCAGGGGGGCCCCCTGGATGAGCAGCCCCAAGTGTCACCAACCTTTAGTCGGTCTCGGGGGCCCCCAGGGGGCCCCCCTGAGCTCAATGGGGCCCCCAAGGGGGGCCCCCTGAAGGGGCCCCTAAGGGGACCTGGGGGCCCCCAGGGGGCCCCCCCAGCGGCCTGGCGTAGGGAGGAGGCAAGCATTAGGAGAGCAGTCATTTCACTATGACGGGTGCTTGCTGCTGCTGCTGCTGCGGCTAGCTAGCTGCTGAAGCTGCTGCTGCTGCTGCTGCTGCTGCGGCTGCTGCGGCTGTGCTCGCAGGATGTTCGGCTCTCCGAGGAGGTGGGCAGACGCATAGTGCAGGTGCGGGCTAGGGTTTAGGGTTTAGGGTTTAGAGTTTGTAGCGTGGGGCTTCTGCTCTAGGGATGCGGGTTTAGGGTTTAGGGTTTAGGGTTTAGGGAGTTAAGTGTGTGTCGGCTTGCTCCCGTACAGACGAGGGTTTGAGTTTAGAGCTGAGGGTGTAGTCTATGGAATTAGGGTTTTTAGGGTTTTTAGGGTTTTTAGGGTTAGGGTTTAGGGTTTAGGGTTTAGGGTTTAGGGTTTTAGGGTTTGTTGCAGGGCATGAATTTCTTCAGTGAGCGTCTCGACGAAGTCTTTGCATGCATTCCTTTAGAGCTACCCGAAGAAGAACTCATAATACCCCCTCCATCGTCTTCAGCTTGGGCCCCTACCCTTTTAGATATCTCCTTTGGGGCCCCCGCAGAGACACCCAAGGAAGGGGGCCCCCTTGAGGGGGCCCTGGGGGCCCCCCAAGAGGAAACAATGGAGGGGGCCCCCCTTGAGGGGGCCCTGGAGGCCCCCTCAGAGACACTAAAGGGGGGGCCCCCCCTTGAGGAGACCTTAGGGGCCCCTCTAGAGGAAACAAAGGAGGGGGCCCCCCTTGAGGGGTCCCTGGGGGCCCCCCAAGGGGAAACAAAGGAGGGGGCCCCCTTTGAGGGGCCCCAGGGGGGCCCTCTAGAGAAAATAAAAGGAAGACCCGCACATGCAGAGACCCTAGGGGCCCTTGTAGAGGTACCTGTGGGGACCACCTCTCAGGAGGGATTGGGGGGGCCTCCCCCTCAGGGGCCCAAAGGGGCCCCCGCTGAGGGCCCCTTGGGGGCCCCCCCTGAGGGGCCCCTGGGGGGCCCTTCTGAGGCCTCCCTGGGGGTCCCCGCTGAGGACCCCCTGGGGCTTCCATCTGAGGGCCGCTTGGGGGGCCCCTCCTGAGGGCTCCTGAGGGCCCCGTGGGGGCCCCCCGTGAGGAGCCTCTGGGGGGCCCCTTTGAGGGGCCACTTGGGGGCCCCCACTGAGGCCCCCCTGGGGGCCCTCCATGAGGAGCCTCTGGGGGCCCCCTTTGAGGGCTCACCTGGGGGCCCCCACTGAGGCCCCCCTGGGGGCCCCAGGGGCCCCGTCTATTTGAGGGGAAGAAGAGGCAGAGGTGGGGGCCCCTCAGCAGGCTGTACCCTCATTTGTTTCGATTGGTGTGGAGGCAGAAGAGGAGCAGAGGAGGCCCTGCTAGCCTATCTATTATTATTTTATATTATTGTATATTACATATTATTATATATATTATTATTTATTATCGTTATTTACTATGATTATTTTTTATTATTATTGTTCTATATTATTATTTATAATTATTTATTATATATTATTATTATTATTATTATTATTTATTTATTTATTATTATGAGGGAGGGGTAAGATTACTTTCTTATAAAGGCTAAGAGGGGCCCCTCAGTGCAGGCGTTGGGGGCCCCTGTTTTGTTTTATTTTTTGTTTTTGTTTGTTTTGTCTTTTTAAATAAATTGCGGCGCCTTTTGTAGATTGTCTATTGCTACAACCGATTGTCTTTGAGGTACCTGCAGCCACAGAGAAAAGGGTTTAGGGTTTAGGGTTTAGGGTTTAGAGGAGGCGGCTAGGGTTTGGAGAGCAGCAACTAACCGTAGATGCAGCAGCAGAGGGAGACATCGCATGCAGCCCCTAACTTAGGCATGCGCGCTTTGTTCCCTAGGCTTTAAGCTGGGGTTTAGGGTTTAGGGTTTAGGGTTTAGGGTTTAGGGTTTAGGGTTTGGTGCACAACAAGGCTTTGCTGTACAGGCGGCGCTACCCCAGGCTCAAGGGGTGAGGGTTTAGGAGGCAGCTCCTCAAACCCTAAACCTTAGATTTGTCAGGTGTGGGGCCCGGGGGAGGGTTTAGTGGCTCGGGGAGGGCTAGGGGTAATGCAGCAAATAAGCAGTCAGCACACAAGGAGGTTTAGGGGTTTAGGGAAGAAGAAGGGCTTGCCGCTAGGCTGTTGCGGTTAGGGTTTAGGGTTTAGGGTTTAGGGTTTAGGGTTGTTTACACGATCCGGAGCACATGGGTAGGGGGCTTCTATACGGAATACACTCAACGATTTAGGGCTTTACGCCTTAGGTTAGGACTTTAGGGTTTAGGGTTTAGGGTTTAGGGTTTAAGGGTAGGCGCTGGGCAAGTGACCCTGAACAGTGGTTAGGGTTTAGGGTTTAGGGTTTAGGTTTACACGCGAGAATCATATGCCAGCAGGCTTTAATATTACGAGCTAAACAACTCCTGAAGGAGCCTTAAAACTCACGTTTCTGCCTCTAGGGTTTAGGGTTTAGGGTTTAGGGTTTAGGGTTTCGCTGGCTGCTCGGGCTGCCAGCCAGCCCCAGCTGGGGCCGAGTCAGCTTGAGGCTCGTCGCAGTAAATATATTGGATTATCACTAATTATTACTTAATTTTATTGCAAACAAATCCAAGGGTTTAGGGTTTAGGGTTTAGGGTTTAGGGTTTAGCTCCGCCAACTGCCACCGACGCAAAACGAGGCCCGGTCGTCCAGGGTGTCGGCTCCGGGGTTTAGGGTTTAGGGTTTAGGGTTTAGTATTTCTATAGCGAGTGAAACCTTCTCTGCATCTGCTGCCTCATACTCTGACCTAAAACTTTAGGGTTTAGGGTTTAGGGTTTAGGGTTAGTGTTTACGTGTCCCTTTTTCCCCTCTAGGCCTCAGGCGTTCATAGCGTTGTTAGTCGTTCAGCAGATCATGGCCAGATGCTTAGGGTTTAGGGTTTAGGGTTTAGGGTTTAGGGTTTAGGCCGTCAGTTGCAATGCTGCTGGCCCCCCTCTCGCTGCTGCAGCAGTTCACTTGAGGCGGCTCCCCAGGCTGCAAGCAGCAGCAGATGGGGCCCCCAGCTGAGGAGGCCCCTGGGCAGCAGCAGCAGCAGCAACAGCAGCAACAGCAGCAGCAGCAAAAGAAGAGGGCTGTGCATGCAGCCCCGTCAGTGTGCATGCACCTGCCTATACACCTGGGGCCCCACGGTGTACACGCAGCAAAGAACACAGAGACACAAAGTGAGGCCTCCAAGCAAAGAGAGAAGAAACCCCACAGGCTGCTCCTAAGGCGCCAGCAGCAGCAGCAGCAGCAGCAGCAGCAGAAGCCTGTGCTGCAGCAGCAGCAGCAGCAGCAGCAGCAGGGGGAGAGGAAGCGGCACATCACCTCAAAGAGAGCAGCAGCAGAAGCAGCAACGCGTCGTCGTTGTTGTTTTTCTCTGTCTCCTTCTTCATTGAGGAGGCCCAAAGACAGGGTAAGCAGAGCTGCTTTCATGCAGCTGCTGCTTCTCGCCAGGGGCAATATACATACACTGGAGGAGACAGTAAAATCAATCGCATGCACCGGGTGTACGTACACCTCGCGCATAAGACATCAAGCTGCATGCAGCAGCAGCAGCAGCAACAACAGCAGCAGCAGCAACGTTGCTCGGATCTATCTTTGCTGCTGCTGTCTTCTTGCGTTTGCTGAGGTGTAGCAGCACTACAACGTGCTGCCACAAACAAAGAAGGCCTCCGTTTATACGGGACATACACCAGCATAGGGTTTAGGGTTTAGGGTTTAGGGTTTAGGGTTTAGGGTTTAGGGTTTAGGGTTTGTGTGGCTTGCTTTATTGCCCAGGGGGTGCCCTCAAACCCTACCGAAAAAAAAGCAGAAAATGCAAAGTCTGCCCACTCAAAGAAAAGATACAGTAGGCTGAGGGTTTAGGGTTTAGGGTTTAGGGTTTAGGGTTTGAGATGGGGGTTCAGCACGACGGCGAATTGAACTCTGCAGCAACACGCCAGCAGACGAATGGCTGCTAGGGTTTGGGGTTTACTGTTTGGAGATTAGGGTTTAGGGTTTGGAGATTAGGGTTTAGAGTTTAGGGTTTGGACATTAGGGTTTAGGGTTTAGGGTTTGTAGGTTAGGGTTTAGAGTTTAGGCCTTCGTGTTTTTGTCTCTCGCAGCTCCATCTCCGCTCCCGCTGTCCCCCGCAAAGAACGTAAGTTTAGGGTTTAGGGTTTAGGGTTTAGGGTTTGTGGAGATCGTAGGAGAACTGGAGTTAGAGGTGAAGCCCCTCAAAACATCAATAGATGGTCCTGAGGCATTTCACGATGTTGCTTTTGCTGCTGCTGCTGCTGCTGCTGCTGTCGTTGCTGCTGCTGCTGCTGCCATTGCTGCTGCTGCTGTTGCTGCTGCTGCTGCTGCAGGGGGGAGACGGCGCCTCTGCAGCAGCTTCACCCAGAAGCCAGCAGCAGGTAGGACGGGGTGTGGGGCCCCACAGAGACAGCAGAGGGGTATAGGAGGGCGGGGGCCCCTTAAATAGACAAGAAGGATTAAGAGAGAGACAAAGAGACAGCAAACAAACATTCTCAACTTGCTGCTGTTTATGTTTATATTACGCAAATGCTCTCTATCCGCAGCACACACAGCAGCAGACCCAAGATAAAACCCTAAAAGGCAAGCTACTCCCTGGGTTTAGGGTTTAGGGCTTAGGGTTTAGGGTTTGGGACTCCGCGCCGCGATGCTCCCCTTGAACATCTGCTCCGGCGGTAGTTAAGGTTCAGGGTTTAGGGTTTAGGGCTTATGGCGTAGGGTTTAGAATGAAGGGTTTAGGGTTTAGGGTTTAGGGTTTATTAATGTGGTAGGGAGCGACAAGGAGACAAAAAGCAGCACTTCAAAGGGACTGCGAAAAGGCTCCGAGGCAAAGGCATGCAAATGCTCTCCACTAGGGTTTAGGGTTTAGGGTTTAGGGTTTAGGGTTTGGATTCTTAATTAACTAATAGGAGAGGCGTAGATGTAAGAGAGAACGGCTATTGCTACTGTTCATGTTCTTACTGTCGCTGTTACTGTTGCTGCTGCTGCTGCTGCTGTTGCTGCTGCTGTTGCTGCTGCTGCTGTTGCTGCTGCTGCTGCTGCTGCTGAGTGATCAGGCTGCGTTCTCACAAGAGAAGACTAACGCCCACAAACGTCTCCAGGGGGCCTCCACTGCTGCGGTAGCCCTAAACCCTAAACCCTAAACCTTAAACCCTAAACCCTAAGTCCTAACCTACAACACTAAACCCTAACCCTAGACCCTAAACCCTAAACTTTACGTCCTAACCTAAAACTATAAACCCTATCCCTAAGCCCTAAACCCTCAACCCTAACAAACCCTAAACCCTAGCTACTTACAAAACCCTAATATCCTTTCTTTTGCTGCTTTAGGCGGAGTCATCAGGGCCCTTGGGGGCCCCTGCTGTACCCTCCTCTGGCGGCCTGCATGCAGGGGGGCTGCCTGAAGGTTCTGAGGGGGGGCCCCAGGGGCCCCCATCGCCTGAGGGGCCCCAGGGGCCCCAGGGGGCCCCCACGGCGAAGCCTTTAGACCCTCTATCAGCAGCAGCTGGGAGCAGCAGAGAGACAGAGTTTGCTGCGTTGCATGCAAAAGGAGAAGGAGACAGCGCACAGAAGCAAGTGTCTCTTCTTGCAGAAGATTTAAATGAGGAGACAGGAGAGATAATTGAGGGGGCCCCGGTAAGGGGGCCCCCACAGGGTACTGGAAGGGGGCCCCTAGAGCCTCAGGGGGCCCCCACAAGCTCCTCTAAGGGGATAGGGGGGCCCCCTGAACAGATGCAGCAGCAAATGAAAGCAAAAAAGGAGACACTGCAGCAGCAAACGCATGAGGAAAAGAAAGGAGGGACATCAACAGCAGCAGCAGCAGCAGCAGCAGCAACGGCAACAGCAGCAGGTACTAGGGCACAGGGGGCCCCCTTGCAGCAGAGCCTCAAAACCCTGCTTTACCCCGTAGCAGACAGGGCACCGCAACAGCAGCAGACGCAGCACAAGCAGCAACAACAGCAGCAAGAACAAGGAAGACAACAGCAAATGCAGCAACAGCAGCAGCACCTGCTGCAGCAACAACGCCAGCAGCACCAAGGCCCACCTCCTCAGCAGAAAGAGCTTCAACTGCAGCATGTGCAGCAGCTGCAGCTACACCATGTGCAGCAGCTACAGCTGCAGCAGCAGCAGCTGCAGCAGCTGCAGCTACAGATCGAGCAGCAGCAGCAACAGCAGCAGATACAGCTGCACTTGCAGCAGCAGCTGCAGCAAGAGACGTTGCAACAGCAGCAGCAGCAGCAGCAAAAGGAGTTGCAGCAGCAACAGCAGGTGCAGCAACAACTCGCCTTTCTGCACCTAGAGAAGCAAATGCTGCGGGACAAAGAGCAGCTGCTGCTGTCTCTGCAGCATCAGCAGCAGCAGCAGCAACAGCTGCAGCAGCTGCAGCAGCTGCTGCTCCTCCAGACAACCTCACAAGGGGGCCCCCTCTTTACGGGGCCCGTTCTCGCTTCTCTAGACCCCTCTAGGGGCCCCCCTCCTGCATATCGGGCATGCAATCGCGTCATGCCGGCTGCTGCATGCGGGAGGGGGGGCCCCCTGCCTCCATATGAGGGTACAGTTGGAGTGGGGGGCCCCCTTGGGGCCCCTGAGATGGCTGCTGGTGCGATGCTGCAGCAAAACGAAGAAAGAAGGGGGCCCCTACAGAGGGGCCCCCCTTCAGCTTCTTTAGGGGGCCCCCTGGGGGGCCCCCCATACAAAGAGAGACTGTCTCCAACTCAGAAAGTAGGAAGAAGCAAACGAAGGGCCCCTGTCTCCTCGCTGCAGCGTGGGGGCCCCTGTCTCTCCCCTCATGCAAAGCCAAGGGGGGCCCCCAAGAGACAGCTAAGCAGCAGAAGCAGCACAAGGGGGGCCCTCAGGGGGCCCCCCCAGCATACTACTACACCTCCAGGGGGGCCCCTTCTAGGGGACTGCTGCAAGCCGAAGGCTTGGGGACGGCAGCACCTAAGGGGGGCCCCCCGCAAACATAGAGACAGCGAGCAAACATTAAAAAGCAGCAACCTACATATCATTCTAAGACCAGACAGGGGGGCCCCCTATCATACCTTGGGGGCCCCCCCTCATACCTTGGGGGGCCCCCCCCCTTCTTCTATGATTGTTTCAATGGATGTGCGTGTGGGGCTCCGTCAGCTCAATAAGCAGGGCCGTAGCCTTATATACACTACCTGGCAAAGGGTAAACCTGGGGGCCCCTAAAGAGGCCCCTCAGGGGGCCCCCCTGGAGGGGGGCCCCCCTACGGAGGGGGCCCTTAGTGAGGGGGCCCCCAGGGGGGCCCCACAGCAAGCAAGTCCGGGGGAAGGAGACGAACCCCCCTCTATATCCTTAGAGGTTGATGGGGGCCCCCAGGGGGCCCCCCAAAGGTTTAGGGGTACTGAAAGGGTTCAGCGAGCTTCTGCATACACTACTGCTGCATTGAGCGAAGGGGGCCCCTGGCGGAGGGTTGGAGGGGGGGCCCCCAGGGGGCCCCCCAATGTACTGGATTGGGGGGGGCCCCCAGATGCTGATGTTGTGGTGCAGCTGCCTCTCTGGGGGCCCCTAAATATAGGGAAGCTGCAGTTCTTCCGAGTAGCGCAGCAGAGGCTACAAACGATCTGCGGGAGTCAACAAATCCCCTCACACCACCGACGTGCAGCAGCAGCAGCAGCGCAGCAGCAGCAGCATCAGCAACAGCAACAGCAGCAGGAGCAGCTTGGGGGAGAGAGAGGGTGTTTAGCTTTATCAGGGAGGGAAGCCCTTGAAGACATGGCTGGGGTAACACCAAACAGACAAAAAGGAGACAGTCTCCACGAACTTCTTTTAGATTCATCTTTAGCAGAGGCAGCAGTAAGACAAAAAGATAAAGAAGGTGAAGAGGGCCCCTCTGAGGCATTCTCTCTCGAGAGCTTTGGCAGCATGTATGGGCCCCCACCTCTCTTATGCCCCTTTTAATTAATTATATATCTTTTCCCAACTCATACAACCAGCCTAGCTAGCTAGCTAGCTGGCTAGCGATTGAGTAGTTATCTGGCTAGCTAGCTATATACCTATCTAGCGGTTGGCTAGCTAGCTAGCTATCGTGAGCGAGCAAGTAGGTGTCTGTGAGGCAGTAGTGTTGATAAAGGGCAGCAAATAAAACAAATGAATTAATTAATACGGGCGCCGGGAATCGAACCCGGGACCTTCGGCTTGTGAAGTGAGCGTCAGAGCCACTGGACCACTCGGGCGAGTGCGTGTGGGTGTAGCAGCCTTCCTCCAACACGCTGGAGGTGTTTGTTTGTCTCTTTGTTTAAATGCAGCAGAGAGGAGAGACAAACAGCAGCAGCTGCCCCCTCATATTACTCTCTACAGTGACATGTGCTGCACAGGAAAAGCTTGTGTCTGTTGTTGCTGCTGCTGCTGATGCTGCTGCTGTTGTTCCTGCTGCTACTTTTGCTGTTGTTTTTGCTGCTGGTCATACTCATGTTGTTGCTGCTGCTGCTTCTTCCTGAGGCTGCATGCAGCCCTTGTTATTTGTCTGCTTCACTTATTTTGGGGCTTTACTCTGCTGCACTGGGGGACTTGTGCACCAACAGCAAAAGTAAATGAGAGGCTGCAGAAGAAGCAGCTACTTAGCACAACAGCAATGGCTGCAGTCTGCATGCAATAAGTAGGGCATTTATTGTCTCCTTTTCGCTTTAGAGGGGGGCCCCACACATTTGCATGCGTTTATAGGGCCCAGTAGATGCAAAAGGAGACACTAAAATACTAAAGAGAGACAGAAAGAGAAGCAGAAGGAGACAAATGCAGCATCGATGTTCTCTGAAAAGGGGACACTGCGTCGGCTGCGGTGTATGTGCAGGTATTTGTATTGGAGTGTATATGTTTGTTTTTTTCTTTACTTTAATATAAATGCATTTTAATGCATCTCTTTGTCTAACGAATCTCGTTAGGTGTAGAAGACAAACAATACCCACAGCTGCGAGCGCTCGCGCGAGTCTCTCGCTGTGTGTGTCCCTTTACTCTCTTTTGTGCTGCTCTTGTCTCCCTCAAAAACAAAATAAATGAATATAATTATAATTAATTAAGATAAATAATTAAAAAAATATTAATAACAGCTGCATGCAACATCCCTCCTGCTGCTGCAGCTAGCAGTTCTGGCGACAGCGGGGGCCTCAGCAGCAACAAGGGTCACCCTTGTCTTTTCTTGCTGCATTTAATCAGTATGTGTATATTATTAATTGAATTAAACATACAACCAATGGAATGGAGATCAAATAAGCAAAGAAAGCAGAAAAAACTCAGCTGATGATACACCGCAGCTGCCCCCCCCTCCTTATAGCTAGGTGGTAATGCAAAGGAGAGAAGCATTTATTGTTTTTCTTTTGTTGTTTGTTCTGAAGGTCAGCAGTTATTGAATAGAGAAGAAGAGGAGGATATATTTGGGGTGTATAGGCAGCTAGCAGCAGAGGTGCTGCATATGCTTGTTAAGCTGTACCGCACACTGCTTCCAGTTGTCTCCTTTGAAGTGTCTCTGTCTCCTTTTGTTTTGTGTTTATGATGGGGGACCCTCGGACAGAGAGTCTCTCACAAGCAATTGCTGCATTTAAAGAGCAGAAGAGAGACAGCAACGGCAGCATATCTGCTGATCTCCGCTCTGTAATTGTATCTCGTTCTTGTTTAATGTGGATGCGCACTGTAGAGGCACTGTTACCTCTATCTTGCTGCTGTTTAAGCTGGAGACAAGCCCTAGAGGAAGCAATTGAAGCAGGGTGTGTCCCTGTAGTTATCTCCTTCTCTTGTGTGTCTCTTATTGCCCGTCAGTCTCCATCTCGTCGCGCAATTCTTCTGTCTCTGCTCTCTCGTTGTGCCTCCAACTCTCTCTTTCTTGATTTGTCTCGTTTATCAGGGCCCCCCTCTCTTCAAGATCCTGCAGGGCAGCTAGCAAGAGAGCTGCTGCAGCAGATGCAGTTTGCTGCTGATTTGTCTCTCGATCTTCAAGCATGGGTTGTTGCTCCTGGGGCCCTCGTTGCTGAACTACTCAGATTAATTAACAGAAGCGGAGACACTCTTCATACACTTCAGCTAAGGGGGGCCCTCTTACATAAACGTATTCGAGCTCTCTTAGTCTCTGGCTGCAACCTAGGACCCCTCACAAGGAGACGCCTCTCTCCAAGCATTGAGGCTCAGTGCGGCAGCAGCAAACCCCCCAGTAGCAGCTGCAGCAGCGACACAAGCAGCACCTACCCCACAAACCCTAACATTCTCTTAGACAGAGCTGTCCAGAAACGGGCGGGAGACGATCCCCGAGACGATCCCGATCCCCACACCCCACACTCCAGGCTGCGTGATCCCTCGCCACCGCCTCAAGAGGCTTCAGAAGAAGCTTCTTCTCTCTCCGACACCCTACCGCCTTCTCCAGCAGCAGTAGCAGCAGCAGCAGCAGGCGTAGCAGCAGCAGCAGCAGCAGCAGGCGCCGCAGCAGCAGCAGCAGCAGGCGCAGCAGCAGCTGCAACAGCAGGGTCTGATTCATCACGTGCAGGGAGCCTGTGGGTAGACACATCAAAGGAGAATGGGAGCTGTCGATCCCCTGACTGGGGATCGTCTCCAGCGGAGACACCTCAACTGTCTCCTCACGGACAGCGACGCCGCTGCATCTTCTTCTTACCTAAATTAAAATGCATAACCTTAGAGGGCTTTCAGCTGCTTGAGTTTTTTGATCTTCCCCAGCTAGAAGAGATATATATAACTCTTAGCTCGGAGGCTCAGTGGCTGGAGTCTCTTGCTGCTGCACAGGAGAGAGCAGCAGCCCTGTCTCCCTACAGGTGGGGGCCCCCCACCTGCCTTCAGGTGTCTCCTCATTGCTTGTGGGGCCCCGAGGCCTCCTTCGCTCACCCTTGTCTAGCTCTTAGGTTTTTAGCTCTGCACGGGTCTCATATACGCACGCTGCAGATTGCAGGGTTCATGAAGCCCTCAGTCAGAAGCGAGATAGGTAGATGGGTAGCAAGAGCTCTCGCAGCTACCTACAAACACCAGCAGCAGCAGCAGCAGCAACAACAACAACAGCAGCAGGTGCAGCAGCAGCAGGGGAAGGAGGAGGAGCAGCAGCAGGAGCAGCAGCAGCGGAGGAGTCTAGCTAGCACTGAAGGTGCTTCTGCTGTAAGCGGAGACAGAGGAGACTTGTCTGCCGCAGGAGACGTCGGGGTGTCTTGCTGCGAGTGCCGCTCACAGCAACAGCAGCAGCAGCAGCAGCACGAAGGGACAGGGATTTCGAGTCTGGTGCGCTGCTGCAGGATGGAGGAGTTGCTGGAGGTGCGAGTTGAGGAGACAGCTTTCTTAGTGTTTGTGTCTCCTCCTCATGTGCAGCAGCTCGAAGTAAATGTCTGCAGCAGTGGGGACTGGCTGCTGCTGCTGCTGTTCCTGCGGCTGTACGGGTCGCAGCTGCAGCAGCTGACGGTGTGGGGTGAGGAGGTGTCTCCTCTCTCTCTATCTCCTCCCTCCTCGTCGGGGGCCCCTAGCGGGGGTTTGCTCAGTGCTGCTCGCGTGCCTGTGGAGACAGAGCAATTAATATCTTTCATGAAGACAAGAGCCCTGCTTGAGGGTGAAGGGGGGCCCCAAGGGGGCCCCTATGAAGGCAAGCAGAGCTGCAAATACACCCCAGCAACAAGAATGTCTCCTCCCCCCCTACACTACCCTATCAGCCTCCCACAACTCAGGTGTCTCCTTTGTCCTAGCTGTCTCCTTCCGGAGCTCTGCTCCAACAGCAAAGATCTGCTGCCTAGTCTAAAGCATCTAGACACCTGGGGAGACAGCAGCAGGATAAAGGCATTCCTCAAGCAAAAGAGACAGTTGAAGACAGTTAGGGTGCGGGGGATCAGCAGCAGCAGCATCAGCAGCTGCAGCAGCGCAGACGAGCTGCTCGCATGCAGCAGAGACACTCTTTTAGACAGCAGCGGCAGCAGCGGCAACCTCCTCACCACCAGCAACAGCAGCAGCAGCAGCAGCAGCAGCAGAAATCGAAACAGCAGCAGCTGCTCTTCTCTGCGTGGGGGCCCCTACAAGCCCCAAGGTATATCCTGGCACTCATCTTCTTCTGCATTTTCAGTAGAGGCGGAGACACTCGAGCAGTTTGAAGGCCCCGGGTGTATATTGAGGTCCTGGAGTCTCTGCCCTAGGCTGCTGCGTCTTGAAGTGCGTACAACACAACTGTCTCCTTCTCTCTCTCTTTCTTCTGGTGTCTCTACACCTCTCTATCTTCTTTCCTTGTCTCCTGATGTCTCTACTGCTGCCCCGCGTGCTGTCTGTCTCCGTTTGTCTCTTTCTATTTCGTGCTATCTCTCTCTGTCTTTTGCTGTCTCCTTTTGTCTTTTGCTGTCTCCTTTTGTCTTTTGCTGTCTCCTTTTGTCTTTTATTGTCTCTACTATATCTTAATCGATTTTCTTTTGTCTCCTTTGATCTCCTTCTGTCTCCTTTTGTCTTCATTTGTCTCTCTGAGTCCCTCTTCTGGTGTCTGCGTTTTATATATTTTGTCTCTCTTTCGAGTGTCTGTCTCCTTTTCTTTGTTTGTTTCTGGTGGTGTACGCCCCTAAACAATGTCTCTAGAGACTGCTGCAGCAGCTGTCTCCTTTTGCTTTATTCAGTTTCTTTATTGTTTATTTTGTCTCTATTGTTTCTTCTGTCCCCTTTTGATTTATTGTGTCTCTTTATTGTTTCTTCTGTCTCCTTTTGTTTTATTGTGTCTCTTTATTGTTTATATTGTCTCCTTTTGTCTTTTGCTGTCTCCTTTTAATATCCTTTTTGTCTCTGCAGCTAACAGAACAAGCAGAGTTAGCAGATGCATTTCTTCTTAGTGGGGGGGCCCCTAAGTTGGAGACGCTTTTATATGGGGGCCTCTTAAAAGTGATGCAGCAGGACCTCTCAGCAGCTTGTAGAGGCCTTAGGTGTCTGAGGCTGCTGCATGCATTTGCCCTTGACTTAGCTCAATTAACAGACAACAACTCTCCACCACAAACAACAGCAACAATAGCAGCAGCAGCAGCAGCAGCAACAGCAGCAGCTGCAGCAACAACAGCAGCAGAAGCAGCAACAGCAGCAGCAGCAGCAGCAGCAGACGAACCAACAAGGGACAACACGATCTCCCCCTCTCAAACCCCCTTTAAGGTCTCCGAAGCCTCTGCGCTTCCTGCAGCAGCAGCACGTCAACCCCGTGGGGGCCCCCATGGGGGGCCCCCTGTAGGGCCCCATGTTGGGGGGCCCCTTGGAGGGCCCGCTGAGGGGCCCCCTGTGGGGGGCCCCCTTGAGTGGGGGCCCCTTGAGGGGGAGACCCTTGATGAGGGGCCCTTTGATGAGGGGCCCTTTGATGGGGGGCCCCTTGATGAGAGGCCCCTTGCAGAGCCCGTTGGGGGGCCCCCTAGGGCCCCGTTATTGGGGGCCCCTAATGAGAGTTTAGGTAAGCTTGAGGAGCTGTACGTACACCACTTGATTGCGTCTCCTTTGTCTCTCTCTCTGTTTCTGAAGGCAGCAAATTGTTTACGCTTTGTTGGAGTGCAGCGATGCTCAGGGCTTAGTTTAAGTGCAGCTGTCTATACACTGCAGGACTGGGGCTTTGTAAGGCTCCCTCAAGGGGTACTTCCAAGCCCCACATGCAGGGCCTTTGCATGCAGAATCAAAGAAAGCAATAAAATATTATATGATGGATTTGTTGTTATGAAGAGACAGATCTAGAAAGGAGAGACAAAAGGAGACAAAGATAAAAGGAGACACCCAGCAGCAGACAGAAAAACAAAAAGGGCAGAAGAGACGCCAAACAGACAAAACAACAAAACAACAAACAACAGAAAGGAGACAGCCCACAGACAAGGAGACAGCAGAGAGGAGACAGGAGAGAGGAGACAGCGGGGGAGAGACAGCAAGGGAGACACAGCAGACAAGACAGAGGAGACACAAGAAAGGAGACACCTGCACTCCGCGCGCTGCTGCACCACTTGCAGCAGCAGCAGCAGCAGCAGCAAGCAGGAGGCAGAGAGTAACAAGAGTATGTGTTGCTGCATGCGGGCCCCAATCCATCCCTCTCCTTTCAGGTGTATGTACGCAGCAGACACCCCAGCAGTAGCCAGGGGGCCCCCAGCAGCAACATCTGCTGCTTAGACCCTCCTCTATTTCAATTTGAAGCTGTAAACAGGGCCTCCCTGGAGCCGTCCCCAGCACCGCTACCCTGCTACCCTTTGGGGGCCCTCCCCTCCCCAAGAGACCCCGAGGGGGCCCCCTAAAGGCCCTTAGGGGGCCCCCTGAGGGCCTTTGGGGGCTGTTAGTGGTGGGTGTTTGTTACGAAGTGTTGCGGTTGATTGGCTGCGGTTAAGTAAGGGCTTGTGTTTTGAGGTTTGGGGAGGAGGGAGACGACTACTTCATTTAAAGAGAAATAAACAAACAAACAAATAAATAAATAAATAAATAAATAAAATAAATAAAATAAATTAAGTTAAAACATCTGATGGTGTAGCGGCTCCCTAGGTACAGAAAGTAAATGACAATAAACTTCAAAGCCAGGTTACCCGGGCCAGACCTCGGGGCAAGGGAAGTAGCTAGCTAGCTAGCTAGCTAGCTAGCTACTTTCCCTAACTGGAAAGCAAACAGCTAGCTGAGTATGTAGGTAGACTGCTGTCTGTCTACATATTAATCTAGCTAGCTAGCTAGCTAGCTACCTAGGAAGCAGCTAGCTAGCCAACTATGAGGCGGCAAGCTAGCTTGCCATGAAGCAGCTAGCTAGCTGGCTAGCTAGCTGGCTAGCTAGCTGGCTAGCTAGCTAGGAAGCAGCTAGCTGGGTAGGTAGGCAAAGGGCTAGTTGAGGCCTGGGATTGGGGTTTCCTCTGGGGCTTGCACCCAGGGGTCTGGGGGCTCTCTGAGGCGCATGCAGAAGACAAAGCAGCAAGCAAGGAGATAAACCCTAAACCCTAAACCGTAAACCCTAAACCCTAAACCCTAAACCCTAGACGCACGCTCCGTACATACATAGCTGTTCAGTGGGAAGCAAGAAGGGCTTCGTTGTTAGGCTACACCGCAGGTATTGCTTAACCCCCCAAACCCAAAACCCTAAACCCAAAACCCTAAACCCTAAACCCTAAACCCTAGCTTATGTTTACCGCTGGAGGTGGAGTATATCTTTTCTTTGTACGATTTGTTCAGCAAGAGGGATATCATCTAAACAAAGGCGCCCCAATAAACCCTCTCTAAAGATGTTTAAAAAAAAATTAAAGCCTCTGTTTAAATCCACGGGGGGGACAGTAAACCTATCCCGCTTCCTCCCCAAGCACATGCAGATGTGCCGAGACACCTGAATAATAAAGTATTATAAAGATTAATAAAGATAAAGATAACGATAAGGATTGTTTTATCGTCATGCATTATCAATAAAATAATAATCAACAAACAAAGAAACACTTATTACGGTTTATTAGGGTTTATTAGGGTTTACTAGGGTTTACTAGGGTTTACTAGGGTTTATTAGGGTTTAGGGTTTATTAGTGTTTATGAGGGTTTAGGGTTTATAGGGGTGTATATAATAATACTATTTAGCTTACCTCCCGGATATCATTAGAGGGGCCGCTGAGCCCTAAGTACTGAACATAATAAAATAATTTATTTTTATTTAAAAGAAATAAAACAAAATCGGCAGTTATTTCTTCTCCTATGACTCTCTCAGGGATTATCCCCAGAACACTCAATATCAAACTGCTGCGCGAGTCGCACTGTCTGTACACCCCACACAAACCACAACACATTAAACATATAATATATATATATATATATATATATAGACATATATATATGCACATATATATATATATGCATATATATATATATATGTGCACAGCAAGATATATATATTTATATAAATATATATATACACCAAAATGTATATATATATATACCAAGAGATATACAAAGAAATAAATGAGTATATGCATGTATAAATAAATATATATATATATATATATATTTACACGATGAAGAAGGGAAACACGGACGTGCTGTGCATGCTGCAGCAACTCAGAAACATACTGCATGCATGCATGCATGCATGCAACAGCAAATACTGGATGGATGCATGGATGCATGCACGCATGCACAGATCCATACATAAACAGAAGCATGCATGGATGGATGGATGGATGCATGCATGCATGCATGATTGTGCATGCAAGTATTGGGGCTTTAACCTTGGTAATAGAATGCCTGGGGAGTCGAAGCAAAAGACTTTCGGTCTTTGTGTTAATTGAAATGCAGCAGTTTGCTGCGTCAGCCCTGGCAGCTGCCCCGTCTCTGCCGTTGTCTTGTCTGTGCAGCAACAATTCGCAATAAGAATCTATTATTATTATTATTATTTATTATTATTTATTATTATTATTATTTGTTATTAGTATTATTAGTATTATTATTATTGTTGTTGTTATTGTTGTTGTTATTGTTGTTATTATTGTTATTATTATTATTAATTGTTATTATTATTAATTATTATTATTATTATTATTATGTGTAATTATATCGTTATTATATTATTGTAGTAGTATATAATATACTGTCTTCTCTGTATAAGAAGATAGTTTGCATGCATGCACTCAGAAAAAGAAGCAATATAATAATAATAAAACAATAATAATATAATTATATAATCATTATATTAGGGTTTAGGGTTTAGAGAGGGTTTACTCACTGACGCCCTCTACAAGTTTATTGCCTGGTTTCCCGTGGAAGCTAGCCTAAAAAAACAAACAGCATGCATGCAGCCCCAAATATCAGGGTTTAGGGTTTAGGGTTTAGGGTTTAGGGTTGGGGGGGTAAAGGATAAAAGTGACTGCCGTGCAAACCCTCACCCTTTTCAGTGCAAGAAGAAGACACAAGAGGAATCAGACAAGATCTCCATGCACTAGGGTTTAGGGTTTAGATAAAGGGTTTAGGGTTTAGGGTGTAGATTAAGGGTTTAGGGTTTAGATAAAGAATGTAGGGTTTAAAAAAAGGGTTTAGGGTTTAGGGTTTGTTGCATATATCCCATGCATATGCATAAAGACCATTTCCTTTGCCTTCCATCTGCTAGGGTTTAGGGTTTAGGGTTTAGGGTTTACAGCAAATGCGAGGGTTTTAAAGGCATTGATAATCGAAGACTTCCCAGTGTTGGGCAGCCCAGCCAGCAGCACCCAACGCCCTAAAGAAGCAAACTGAGGGGCTGAAGAATTTAAAATAAATTTATTTACTTCGTCAAACCCCTTTCGCTTTCGTGCAGACACTGCAACGCACTGCATGCAAACACACACACACACACAGAGAGACACGCATGCAAATATGCATGCATGCATGCATGCATGCACCTTTGCATGCATGCATGCATGCATGCATGCATGCATGCAGGTTGTGCATGCACAGCAAAGATGGTAAGAGAGATGAGGAGATGAATAAAATAACAGAGAAAGACAAAGACGTGCAGATAATAAAACAAAAAGGAGATAAAAAGGAGACAAAAAGGAGACAAATAAAAGACAAACAGCATAAAGGAGACAGTAAACAGATAAGGCGGAGAGAGACAGAGAAAAGAGACAAAAGAAACAGCGCATGCAGTGGAAGAGACAGGGATATTACCCAAAGGAGACAAACAAACAAATAAACAAAAAAAAGATAAGTCAAGAAGAAGAAACAAATAAATTAAATAAAAGAAATTAAACAGAGACAAATAAATATATAAAACAGAGACAAATAAATAAAACAAAAGGATATAAGAATGCCCCAAAAGGGTGCATGCACAAACGCATGCAGCGGCCAAACACAGACACCTGACAGCAAACCCTAAACCCTAAACCCTAAACCCTAAACCCTAAACCCTAAACCCTAAACCCTAAACCCGAGTCCCCTGAAGCACCTCCAGCCCAGCAGCCTTGAGCAGGTTTTGCGCCTTCTGCAATGAACAAAGAAACCCAAACCAATGCTGCAAACCCTAAACCCTAAACCCTAAACCCTAAACCCTACTAGTGTGCCGCTTACAGCCCCACAGCCAAAGCCCTCTTTCCGCAAGCAAAAGCATGCGCCTCTCGAACCGCCAAACCCTAAACCCTAAACCCTAAACCCTAAACCCTAAGCCCTAAACCCTTACCTGCACATCTTTAGGGGTTACGAGATCGCTTTTGTTGAGGAGCACCATGCGCTGCAAATTTGGAGGCAGTTTAAATGCACGCAGACAGCCGCTCGATGTAAAGGGGGCCCTCGCATCCCTCACCTGCAGCAGCAGCAGCAGCAGCAGCAGCAGCAGCAGCACTATTAGAAGCAGCAGCAGCTGCAGCAGTAGCAGGAAGTGTATTAGCAGCAGTGGCAGCAATTGAAACTGCAGCTGCAGCAGCAGCAGCAGCAGCAGCTACCGCAGCAGCTAGCTAGTTGCAATGTTAGACGCTCCAGAGTATAGACAGAATATATATATATATATATATATATGTATGAGTTTACATATATATATATATATACATATGAATATATATACATATATATACACATGTATATATATATACATATAGGCATTAGTTATAGTATATGCATATATATCCAAATGTATTACATATAAGATATACATATATAGATAGATAGACAAATACATTATATATATATTATATATTATATACATAATAAAATAGATGTGAGTATTATAGATAATAAAGGCCGACCTCAATTAAACAATTAATTTTCTTGATAACTTTCTGCAGCTCTACAACACCCTTATTCATATGAGGAGGAAAGAAAGAGGCTTTAAGAGGCCCCACTACAAACTTTTGTCTTGCTTCAAAATTAGGGTACAGAGGGGGGGGCCCCCCTGCAGCACCAAGGGGGGGCCCCCCTGAAATAGGGTACGAGGGGCCCCCTGTACCATCCTGGGGGCCCCCCCCTGAATTAGGGTACGGGGGGCCCCCTACTATGTCGAGGTGGGGGGGGGGCCCTATGGGGGCCCCCCTACTCTTGGGGGCCCCTCTCATCGCCAGCAAGAAATCGCTAGCTAGGGGGCCCCGAGGGGCCCCCAAGCCCCAAGCCTTCTGTGCTACTTTGCCGCGCATGCAGCAGAGTAAAGGTGCAGCAGCAGCAGCTTCGGGGGCTCTCCTGGGGCCCTAGGGGGGCCCCCACAATAAGAATTGATGTTAATAGAGAAGCACACACAGCTGACCTAGCAAAAGAAAGGCTTCCTGCTGCGTTGTGCTGCTGCTGCTGCTGCTGCTGCTGATGTTGCTGCTGCTGCTGCTGCTGCTGCTAATCTTGATGTTGCTCTTGCTGCTGATGCTGATGCTGATGCTGTTGCTGCTGCTGATGTTGATACTGATGCTGTTGCTGTTGTTGCTGCTGCTGCTGCTGCTGCTGCTGCTGCTGCTGCTGCAGGTATTCCCTGCTCACCGCCCCTCCCCCGTCTGTTTGTAAAATAATATATTTGGTGAATTATATTATTTTTATTTTATTTAATCAAAAATAAAATAAAAATAATAAATAAACAAAATAATAACAAAAGCAAATAACCCCAGAGAGAGAGAGAGAGAGAGACAAAGGGGGGCCCCCAAAAGAGTATTAGAGTAGGCTGCAATAAAAGACAAAAGTATATTTATTATTTTATTTAAAATAATAAATAAATAATAAAATTAAGAAATATATAAATATAAATATATTATAATGCATGCAAAGAGATATACCTGGGGGCCCCCTTGCTGCGGGGGCCCCCAAGGGGGCCCCCCTGTTGCTATAGGCGGGGCTTGAAGGATTTATCTTTAGTTTTTGTTTGTTGCTGTATCTTCTTCAGGTTTATTCTTTATTTATAATTAAATTAATCAAATAAATAATTAAAATGCAGCAGATACGAAGAAGAGCAGCGGGAGGCCTCTACTAGGGGGCCCCACAGGGGACAGCAGAAAGGAGACAGCAATAATAATAAAAGAGACAGAAGAAAGGAGACAGTTAAGACGAAGTTAAAAGAAGAGAGAGACTAATAAAGAGACAGAGAGACAAATAGAAGTAAAGAGAGGTAAAGAGGGTTAAACAAAGATATATAAAGATAAAGAAAGAGAGAGAGAGGCTGAAGAGACAGCAGGGGGTTTAAGGAGACAGAAAGAGACAGAAGAAAGAGACAAATGATGTTAGCTGCATGCAATCTAAGAGCCTCTATCTCAGGGTCTCTTGAAGAGATAGAGGGTGCTCTTCGTATGTATTTGTCTGGGGCCCTCTCTATTCAGCAGTTATTGCGGTGTATGTACACCTCAGCACCAGGAAGAAAAACATTTATAGAGCGATCTACTGCATCAGAAGACACAAAGCATGCAGCATCAACAGCAGCAGCAGCAGCAGCAACAACAACAAAGCATCTTCCTTCTCAGCTCTCTGCGTTTGCTGCGCTGCTGCACAAAGCTCTAGGGGCCCCAGCTGAGGGGGGCCCCGGGGGCCCCCTAGAGGGGGGGCCCCCTATACAGCAGCACCCTGAAGAAGTTGTCTATGCTGGCATCTGCGGTGTAGAGTTCTGGCTGCAGCACGTGCAGCTGCTGCTGAGCAGCGATGCTGCTGCAGCAGCAGCAGCCGCATCAACCGTTGCTCCAGCAGCAGCAGCAGCAACAGCATCAGATTCAGCAGAAGAAGGACCTAGAGATATTGCTGTTGCATGCAGAGAGATGGAGCGGCTTGTGACTCCTGTTGCTGCTGCTGCAGCAGACTCAAAGGTACGTTCACCTGCGGCTGCTGCTGCTGCTGCTGCTGCGGTTGCTGCTGCTGTGTATGCGCTGCACACCTGCAGCAAGCAGACTTCTTTGCTGCTGCTGTAGAGTACTCTGCGTTATTACATATTTTGCTTCTGCTGCTGCTCCTGCTGCATTTCCTTGTTGCTGCGATATCTGCTGCTTGTGCTGCTGCTGCTGCTGCTGCTGCTGCAGTTGTCGCTGCATACTCGACGAGCAGCACTTGAAGTTTTGCTGCTGACGGCTGTGGTGTCGTTGGGGGCCCCCCAAGGGGCATTTAAAGGGGGGCCCCCTCAGGGGGCCCCGCATCAAGGGTTTGCTGCTAAAAGGAGACAGTTGATGAGGCGTCTGCTGCGCAAAGCAGTCGAAGGGATAATAGAGGCCCCAGGAGAGGAGACAGCTGCTGCTGCTGCTGCTGCATTAAGAGTATGAAGATTTATCTCTTAAGGGGCTTCCTTACTCTTCTGCATTTGTCTGTTTGTTTGTTTATCTTTTTATTTTGTTTTGTTTACTTCTTTCTATTAGTTGTTTTGTTTGTTTGCATATATATATATATATATATTTATTTATATTTATATATTTATTTATTTTATTATATGCTATACGGGTTTGTGTTAACTAATGAGGGGAGGAGGGTCGCTGCTGCTGCTACTGATGCTGCTGCTGCTGCTGTTGCTGCTGCTGCTGTGTGAGCAGGAAGCAGCAGTGCATGCAGTACATTTGCTGCTGCACTGGCGGGGTGTCTCCCGGGGCCCTTTACGTGCTGCACTGTCTCCTGTTGCTGCTGCTTTGCTGAGAATTGCGCAGCAGGGGGCCCTAATGAAATCAGATGCTGCTGCTGCTGTACGTTGGGGGCCCACGTTGCTGCTGCTGCTGCTGTTGCTGCTGCTGCTATTGCTGCTATTGCTGCTATTGCTGCTATTGCTGCTGCTTCCGTGCCCTCCCCAGACACCTCATTATGTTGCTGCTGCTACTGCTACTGCTGCTGCTGCTGCGGTCCTGCAGGTGTTATTACTGCTGTTATTGTTGCTGCTGCTGCAGCTGTCTTTGTCTCCTTTTCTTTTTCTTGTTTTTATTTGTGTCTCTTTCTTTGTCTCTTCGTCTTGCTGCTATTTATTAGAGTATATCTCTGTTCTCTGTTTCTGTTTCTCTGTCTCTTTGTGTTTCTCTGTCTCTTTGTCTCTCTGTCTCTGTCTCCTCTGTGTCTCTCTCTATCTCTGTCTCTCTCTCTCTCTGTCTGTCTGTCTCTCTGTCTCTTTCTCTGTCTCTCTTTTTCTGTGTCTCTCTTTTTCTTTATCTCTATCTCTCTGTCTGTCTCTCTGTCTCTCTCTCTCTCTATCTGTCTGTCTCTCTGTCTCTTTGTCTCTGTCTCTCTTCTTCTCTGTCTCTCTATCTCTCTGTCTCTATCTCTCTGTCTCTATCTCTCTGTCTCTGTCTGTCTGTCTCTCTGTCTCTTTGTCTCTGTCTTTTTTGTTTTTTTTGTCTGTCTCCTTTTCTCTGTCTCTTTATCGCTGCCTCAGCCTTTTATTTATATATTTATATTTATATATTTTAATAGTATTTTATTTTTATTTTTATTTTTATTGCTTCTCTTTTCGTTTGCTGCTGCAGATAGGGCGGTCGCTGCTGTGTCGCTTAACTTGGCTGTGGCGCTGCTCTCCTAGGCAGCACGAGCAGCAGCAGCAGCAGCAGCAGCAGCAGCAGCAGCAGCAGCAGCAGACGCCGTTTGGTGTCCCCTGTCTCTTCTCAGAGTTGTTAAACAGTGCGCAGCAAAGCGTAAGGAGTCTCCTCGCTGTGAAGAAAGGAGACAGAAATAAACAGCAAAGCGCCTCTGCTGCAGAGACATTTCTGCTGCTGCGGTCGCTTCAAATTATACGCGACTTGCTGCTCTGGGGTGTGTTGCTGCTGCTGCTGCTGCTGCTGCTGCTCATAGTGTTCCTGTTCCTAGTGTTGCTGCTGCTAGTGTTGCTACTGCTGCTGCTGTTGCTGCTGCTGCTGCTGCTTCGTGTGCTGCGTTGCTTGCTGCTGGTATTGGCCGTGCAGCTCTTCCTTTGCTTCTTCTGCTGCTGCTGCTGCTTGCTGCTGCTTCGTTTGCTGCTGTTGTCTTTGCCCTCTTCGCAGTTTGCTGCTGCTGTTTCTGTTTGCGCTCGACGAGTCGGGTGTGCAAGTCTCCTTTGTTGCTGCTGCTGCTGCTGCTGCTGCTGCAGGTGCGGGTCAGGCGTTGCCAGCTCAGGGCGCTGTCTCTTCTTCTTTGCTGCATTTTGAAGAAGAAGGGGGACGCGTAATTATTATTGATGTAAATAGTATAGCAGAGACTCTTCTTGATGCTGTTGTTTGCTGCTGCGACACATTCTCTAAGAACGCCACTGCTGCAGCAGCTGCTGCTGCAGACGCCGCTGCAGCACAGCAGCAGCAACAGCAACAGCAGCAACAGCCGCAGCAACAGCAGCAATCGCAGTCGCAGCAGCAGCAACAGCAGCAGATGCAGCCGCAGATGCCCCGGAGAGGCGGCAAGGGGAGCCAAAAGAAGTGGAAGAGACAGCTGCAGCAACTTCAGCAGCAGCAGCAGCAACAGCAGCAGCAGCAGCAGCAACAACAACGACAATCATCGTCTTTAGTGCTGGAGCCCAGCGACAGCTCCGACGAAGAGAGCGACGCGGGGCAGCAGTCCAGCAGCAGCAACAGCAGCAGCAGCAGCAGCAGCGAGAGCGACAGCAGCTGCAAGAGCTGCAGCAGCGCGAACGACAGCGGCAGCGGCAGCAGGCCTCAGAAACGAAAGAGGGGGGCAACTAAGACAGCAGCAGCATCAACAGCAGCAGGAGCAGCAGCAGCAGGAGCAGCAGGATTGGTGCAGCAGCAGCTGGATGAGCTAGCTGAGACGGAGCTCTCAGCAGCAAGTGCTGCAGCTCTTGAAGCTGCTGTGCATGCAGCAGGGGCTCTCGCTGAAGTTGCTGGCCCTGGCGGCGTCTTACCTTCTCTTCCTCTCTTTATGAAGCTGCTGCAAACCCTCGTTCAGTCTGTCTCCTTTTAACTATCTGTCTCCTTTTGTTTATCTGTCTCCTTTTGTTTATCTGTCTCCTTTTGTTTGTCTGGCTCCTTTTGTTTGTCTGTCTCCTTCTGATTATCCGTCTCCTTTTAATCATCTGTCTCGTTTGTCTTTTGTTTGTTTTTTATTATTTATTTGTTGTCTTCTTCTTACGTCTCCTTTTAATTGTCTGTCTCCTTTTAATTATCTGTCTCCTTTTAATAATCTGTCTCCTTTTAATTATCTGTCTCCTTTGTCTTTTCGTTTTTCTTCACTTGTCTGTCTCCCCTCCTTCCTTTGTTTATTTGTTTATTTGTTTATTTGTTTTATTTGTTTATTTGTTTATTTGTTTATTTGTTTATTTCTTTATTTGTTCATTTGCTGGTTTGCTGTGTTTATTTTATTTGTTAATTAATTAATAAATTAATTAATAAATTAATAAATTTATTTATTTGTTTATTTATTTATTTGTTTGTTTTGCTGCAGGCATTCATCTCCTCTGCTGCACTCTCTCTTTGCTGTTAGGTTTTGCAGCTGTCTCCTTTCTTACGTTCGGTGTCTCCTCAATGGGGCCCCAGCAGCAGCCCCACAGGTGCTGCATGTATGTTTGTTGCATGCAGTTGGGGTGTATAGGCACCTCTTGCTGCACAAACAAGCAGCAGCAACTGCATCAATAATGCTGCATCTTCTGCTGCTAGAGAAGGAAGGCCCCCTCGCCCTCCTTAATAACCAACTGGGGGTCTCTCAGCTGTATACACATAAAAAGAATAACAGCAACAACAGTAAGCAACAGCAGCAACAGCAGCAGCAGCAACAGCAGCAGCAGCAGCAAGGGTAGCGGCAGCAGCAGCAATACCAGCATCAACACTGGCTGCTGCTGTAGCAACAACAGCAGAAACAGCAATAGAAGAAGCAGCAGCAATAGCAGCAGCAGCAGCAGCACGAACAGATATTGAAGTAGCAGCAGCCATAGCAGCAGCAGCAACAGCAGCAGCAGCAGCAACAACAAGGAAGGAGTGTTGTGTGTCTGGTGCTGCTGCGCCTTTCAGGAGTTTGTACTTTTGCTTTGAAGCATTCGGGTGTACATGCAGCTGAATACGAGGGGGGTTTGCTGCTGCTGCATGCATGGCGCAGCACCTGCGAGTTGCTGGAGTTGCTGCTGCATGCACAAACGCATGCAACTTTGGGGCTTTTAAATGTGCAGCTGCAGGCATTCGTTGATGCACTCGTTCTAGGCATACTCGCAACGTAAGACACATATTCCTGCTGCTGCTGCTGCTGCTGCTGCTGTTCGTGGTGCCTCTGCTGCTGCTGCTCGTGATGCCGTTGGTGCTGCTGCTACTGCTGCTGCAGGCATGCATATTATGCATGCATGCATTATTTGCATGCATTGTTTGCATGCGCTGTTCAGGGGCCTCTCTTGGGGCCCAGGGAAGGGGGCCCCTGGTTTTGCATGCAGCGTTATCTCAGACCCTCCTTCTTTAATTGCTGCGCTGCGGCTGCTCACCGTCTCCATCAGTGAGGCCCTAAACCCTAAACCCTAAACCCTTATTACGGGGTTAGCGATGACACTTGCAGCGCCAATGTGTATCTATACATATACCTATATATATATATGTATATATATATATATATGTATGCAGCACATGCTGTACCTGCTCTTGTTGCTGCTGCTGCTGCTGCTGCTGCTTCAGGTGTCTGCGTGCCTCCTGCAGCAACGCTGCGTGCTGCATCTTCGTTGCTGCAGCGTTTAGAAGTATTATGTTCTAGCGACAGCAGCAAGGGCCCCTGGGGCCCCCCAGTGCCTGGGCTTTGGGGCTTTGAACAGCTGCTGAGCGACGGTGCATGCGGAGGCCCCCCGCTGCTGCAGCAGCCTGCTGCTGCTGCTGCATCGGGAGCAGCAGCACAAGGGGCCCTCAGAGAAGCCCTCGGAAACCTCAGCGTTGCCATTCGTAACGCTGCATGCAGTAAGTCTGAACACTACTCTGTGTATACACCCCGCACTCATTTTATGCACCTCCTGCAGCAGCAGCAACAGCAGCAGCAGCAGCAGCAGTAGCAGCAGCAGCAGTAGCGTGCGGGTCTCGCAGGGGTTGCCCCGAAGAAACAGGAGGAGGTTGTTGTTTGCTGTTGTTGTTGTTTGTTGTTTTGCGTGTGTATGTGTGCCTTATGTGCTGCTGCTGCTTCTGCTTCTGCTGCAGCGCGGAGTGCAGCAGGAGCAGCAGCAGCTGGAGAGGCAGCAATAGAAGGGGGAGACGAGACAGCTCTGCGTTTCCTTCTGCATCCAGAGCAGCTGTCTATACACCGCAACACCCGCACAGGCAGCAGCAAGCCTGCTGCTGCTGTCTACTCTGCATGCAGCACAACCACTCTTCGTCTTGCTGCAGCAGCGCAGCGAAACTCGGAAGAAGGCCTCAATGCAGCAGCAGCAGCAGCAACAGCAACAGCATGCAAAGAACCTCATCAGAAGCAAACAACAACAGCAGGAGCAGCAGCACTTGATGCTGCTTCTGCTGTTGATCTCGCAGCAGTTAACTCTCTTCAATACCCACAGAAGCTGCAAGCAGCCAATGGACGCGGGCCTGCTGCTGCTGCTGCTGCTGCTGAAGCTGCTGCGGCATATACAGGAATTGCAGCGGCGCCTGTGGGGTCTCCTGCATCATGTGAGAGAGACAAAAGAGACAGCAGAGACAGCAGAGACGGCAGAGACAGCAAGAAGAGACAAATTGAAAAGGGATGCTCCCTTGAGGTAGATTCTGCTACAGCCAGCCGCGCTGCAGCGCATGCATTTTTATCTGCTGTTGGGGCTGACGTGGGGCTGCATGCAGCGAGACAAGCAACAGGAAGAGGCAACAACGAGCATGCAGAAGCAGCAAGACAGCAAACACCCTCGGCCTTCTCCAGGATGCCGGGGGCTCTACACCCTGCGCCCGCTGCTGCTGCAGCAACTGCTGCAGCAGAAACTGCAGCAGCAACCACTGCAGCAGCAGCAACTGCACCCAGTGATATGCACGAGCAACGGGCGAGGGAAAAGCAGGGACACAGAGAAGAAATTGCAGCTTCAACAACAGGCGCTGCAGCACTGCCAGCAGCAGCAGCAACAGCAGCTGCAGCAGCAGCAGCAGGAGCAGCAGCAGCAACAGGGGACGCAGAAGGCGACGGGAGGTCAGATGATGAGGTTGTAATCCTTGAGGAGGCAGCCTCTCATCCTGTGTCTCTAACGAACAAGAAGACAGCAGCCGCAGCAGCAGCAGCTGCTGCTGCTGCTGCTGCGGCTGCTGTTGCTGCAGCTCAGGCGGCTGTAGAGGAATCAGCAGGTGCAGCAGCTGCTGCTAGGCTCCCGCTGCCGCTGCAGCAACCCCACCGCCCTCAGCAGGGGGTGTCCTGGGGTCAGCAGCAACAGCAGCAGTATCAGCAGCAGCAGCAGCAGCAGCAGCAGCAGCAGCAGCAGCAGCTCTTAGGCAAGGAAGTCTCATCAGAAGCCCGTGCCAGAGCGCGCATCCATGAGTTGCTGCAGTGTAAGTCTAAACTCCTCCCTCAATAAACCCCACAAACTACTTGCATGCAGCTGCATCTGCATGCATGCAAATGCATGCGCTCGCTCGACGTGCATGCATGCATGCATGCATGCATGCATGCGACTGCGTCTTATCTTTTGGTGAATTCTGGTGTCTGTACGAATCCTTTCTATTGGTATTAAAGGCTGAGATATATACGGGGCATTATTATTATTATTATTTATTATTATTTATTATTATTATTATTTATTATTAATATTATTATTATTTATTATTATTATTATTTATCATTATTGTATATTTTATTATACATTATATTATATTATGTGGCATTCGTATGTACCCGAATAGTATATATTATACAGCATTTCTACTACTCTGTGTTATAGTAGATTATATTATTATAATAAATAAAAATTATATTATATTAATATTACATTATAATATTTTATATATTATATTAGTATCATATATTATATTGTTGTTAAAAGAGTAATAATGCAGTCTGCATAATGGCGTGTTTTGTATGTACACCCCAAGGTGAATGAACGCATGCAAGAAAGACAGGGGCTGCTGTTGCTGTTATTGCTGCTGCTGCTGCTGCTGCTGCGCGTTTGCTGCGGTTTGCTGCAGCGGACTCAGAACTGTCGGACTAAATATAGGGCGCTGCTTTAAGCAGAGCGAAGAAAAGCAACAAACACCCAACGCATGCAAGTGCATGCATGCAAATGCATGCATGCAACTGTATGCATGCAAATGCATGCAGCTGTCTCTGCCTCGACCTATCTGCAGCTGAAGTTGCAGCAGAGTTTTGTGTTTTCCTAAAGGGAGTATATGAGGGTGCGGGGCATGAGGCTGCTGCAGCAGAAGCACTTTGCTGCTGCCTCTCTTTTATCTCCTCTTTACTTTAATAATTGTCTTTCTTGTCTTTCTATCAAACAAACAACCAGAAAAATGCAGCTGCTAAGGCCCCAAAACATTGAAGCAGCTAAGTAGCAGCGAGGCCCTGCGGCTGCTGCTGTCACTGTCGAAGCTATGCTGCTGCCGCGCGTACGTTCGTACTGCTGCTGCTGTTGCTGCAGCACTGAACTGTCTGTATGCACAGTGCTGCTGTGCAGCAGCAGCAGCAGCGGCGGCACTGAACTGTCTGTCTGTCTGCATGCATGCATGCATGCATGCATGCACCTGTGATCCGCTGCAGATTACCGGGGGCCGGTCTCTTTTCCCTGTATAATATTGGCTAGCTGCTGCTGCTGCTGCAGCTGCTGCTGCTGCAGCTGACGCATGCAGCCCTTTAATAACCGCTTGATGAGCTCACTGCGCGTGTAAGGGTTTCTTGTCCTCTCTACAGCACCCGCTTGAACTGTAGCAGCAGCAGCAGCAGCAGCTGCTGCTGCTGCTGTTATTGTTGCTGCTGCTGCAGCAGTTGAAACCCCTTATTTCTGTCCCCTTCGTTGTCTCTGCCGTCCGCACTTCCTTCGCTGTTTACTACGCATGCACAGAGCCGTTGCTTGAGCGCTGAGAGCTCCTGCAAAAAAAAAACAAAGAAAGCAAACAACAAAACCCTAAACCCTAAACCCTAAAAAAGCAACCCAAATGTAGAGCGCAGCACTCTAAAGCCAAGAATTCATACATGCATCTACATGCATAAAGATATATATATATATATATATATATATATATATGTATATATACACACACATATATATATATGAAAGATATAAAGAAATAGAGTTTAAATGTGCGTGGAGCTGTTTGCTTTTCTTACCCCGCTTGGCTTCTGAGGACTCTGCCGATGAGGGGTCTCTCTTCGTCTGGGTCTGCCGAACTGAAGAAGAAAAAACAAACAAAATGTGCTGCTCTTCCTGCATGCATGCATGCGTGCATGCATGCACTGAGTAGATAGTATGTATACTGCATGTTATATATTTTGTTCTTGATTATATTATATATTGTATTGCATGTGTTAGATGCATATTTTATATAATGTGCTTATATGCATATACACATATACGTATATTTATATCTTTCTTTACGAAATGTTTAGGGTTTAGGCAGTATTAGGGTTTAGGGTTTGCGAATTAGGGTTTAGAGCGTAGCCAGTACATAAGGGCTTGGGGTTTAGGCAGTATCAGGATTTAGTATTCAAGCAGTATTTAGGTTTAAAACTGAAGGTGTATTAGGGTTGAAGGTTAGTGAAATAAGGTTTAGGGTTTGTGAGCTAGGGTTTAGGGTTTGCGAGCTAGGGTTTAAAGAAAGGGCCTTACGTTGACACTGAAGAACTCGTCTTGTGGCCGAACTCATTTTGCCGTTCCCTGAAAAAACAAGAAAAAGTTTCCTCTTTAAAGCCCCAATCTGGTGTATATGCATGCAATCCGAAAATGCATGCAGCACCACATTATATGCATTTCCACCTGTAGAGCATGCATGCACGCATGCATGCATGCATGGATGTAAAGTTGTACGTGTTATACTTCTACCCTCATAACTGCATGCATGCATGCAGCTCTGTATACCGCTTAAAACTGTCAATGCAGCACAAGCAACAGCACAACGAGGTGTAAAGAAAGTTTATTTATACCCTTAGAAAGAAGAGGTTTTATGAAGAAGCAGAAACCTGAAGATTAATTGATTACAATTCCTTTTTTAATACCTCAGTGAAGTGTTTGTTAAACTCACCGCTGAGAGGCACAGGCGCCCAGAGTCAGCATAAATATGCCGAAGAGAATTATCAATGCGCCGCAGACACCCAAAACGACCCAAAGAATATTCAAATGTCCAATTTTATCGGCGATACTCCCGGAGCCCCCATAATCGCCGCTCTGTGCACGTACACATGCATGCATGCATGCATGCATAATGATGATGAATATTTAAAAAGTGCATCAATTAAAAAACTCTAAACGCAGCAGCAGCAGCCACTATTAACCCATGGATGCATGCATGCACACATGCATGCATGCGCGATGATGAATATTTTTAAAATGTGGATTATTAGAAAGTTCAAAGGGAGGAACAGCAATTATTATCCCTAACTCCTTCCTGAAGATGTTCGAGTATAAACTCAAACAACAAATATTAAGCAAAGGCATAAATGCAGTCTGACTACACTACAGCCGAATATACCGCTAAGCATCACTTCATACAAAATGAGCAACTTACACTGGTGGTGGCGACAGACTTCATTGACGGCATTTCTTTGCATCCGAAGGGGATAATAGAACTACTGTATTGTCTGAAAGATGAAGAAGGAGGCAAAGAAAGCAAAAATTAAAAAAAAATGCTTCCTTCTTCTCTGCCACCCGCAGACCAGTCGACAGACTCCTCTAGGGGAAGTAGGGCATTATTATGTGTACTTTTTCGGGCTTTTCAAGAGTAACTGAGACCTAATAGGAATGAAAAGCTTAAAAATAGAGAGGATCAAGACCTAGTTATCCTCAAAGCAGAGGATCGCCGATGACCACCGCTGCTCGCAATGGCATTCTCCCGATGCTGCCATTTGAGACTATCAGGCCTCCGCATGCACTTAATCTCGCGGAGTAAAAACCTCAAAATATGAATATTCAAGCTTTTGCTTCAATAGGAAGGAAGAAAAACCTGAAATTCAACTGCAACCGCGCGGATCGTGAACTGTGGTCTCAGCTGTTGCTGGGCGCGCGACAGTACAATGCACCGGTGGCCAACGACAATGATGGGGAATTAGCGAAGAAATTCATTTGTTTTAATTGGTTTGCAAATTGTAACTGTAATTAAACACTAAATAGATGCAGAATAACGCGAAAATGAATGTTTTTACCCCAGCTACCACTATTTCATAATGCGGCCATCGATCTTCTTTGCACAGAAAGACGACGGTGGTGATGGGTAGAAGGTATATTGTATGATCTGCCTGTTGTTGTGCTTGACTTCTTTATTTTTCTTTTTATTTAGAAACAATATTATCTTTTGTTTTTTTAGCATTTCTCCTTAGAGCTACATCCTATCCGGGCATCCTTCAATAAGCTGCACCAGCCGAGCGCAGGAAGGCGAGGAGAATTCAACTTGATTCTCGGCGAATTCATCTGTATTTCTTAGGATATTCATTTGAATTTTTCTTTAATTTATTTTTGCTTTGTTGTTTTCTTAGAATAAACAGTTTATCGTCTTCGTGATGCTCCTTTTTCGTTGACAGCACATTGTTTCTTCGCGTCTGCTACGCACGTTCAAATATGTTTTGCCTTCGTTTCAAAGTAAAGACGGCGGCTTTTAGCATTAAAACAACTTGCAAAGTGGGGAAACATAATTTGATTATATTGTACCGCTAATGTCATCCTTCTTTCCTCCGCTAAGAATCTGCAATACTCAATTGCGTCTCCTTCAAGTCGTGCAACAGCACGGCTAACTGCATTGTGTCTGTTCCCTTCTCCTGCAACATAATTTAAATGTATTAAGAGAAGTAATTGATATTTTGTTTGGATCCTGCACGCTGCAACTGCCACTTCAATGGTGCTCAACTCGGTCTTCTAGAGGCCTATCGAGCAGAAAGAGTAAAAATATAAAGTCTTAATAATGGAAATGAATCAAGGAACATCAACAGATGAAGAAAAAAACATCGAGACTAACTAACGATGTTCGATGTTTTACTATTCTTATTCTCCTTCAAGATTTTGAGATGGAAATATGCTTTTTAAGGTTTCTGCCCTTTATTTAGTCTAATAGAAGGAAGATTGGTTGGCTTTATATATATATATATATATATATATATATATATATATATATTA